CCCATTGGTCTCAGCCCATTGACCCAGCCTGACCAGATCCTTCTGCAGCGTCTTCCTACTCTCCACCAGATTGACTGAAGGCTGGAGACAGACTTTTTACAAGAGTGTTCACTGAGAGGACAAGGGGAAATGGGTTTAAGTTGAAGAAGAACAGATTTAGATTGGATCTTAGAAAGAAATTCTTCAGTACGAGGGTGGCAAGACTTTAGAATAAATTGCCCAGAGATGTTGTGGATGTCCCCTCCCTGGAGGTATCTAAGGCCAGGCTGGATGGAGCCTTGAGTAGCCTGATCTAGTTGAGAGGCGTCCCTGCCCATGACAGGGAGGTTGGATTACATGATCTCTAAGGTCCCTCCCAGCCTAGGCCATTCTGTGATTCTATGACACTTCCCCCTAGTTTGGCATCATCTGCAAATTTACTAAGGGTTGACTCAATCCCCTCATCCAGGTCGTCAATAAAGATGTTGAACAGGACTGGGCTCAGTACTGAGATAAGCGAGTCCAACAAACAGATACGACCATGGTGTTCATAGACACACCTGGCCAACACCACTTATCTAAGACAAATGTGTCATCTGTGGAAATGAGTGTAATTTTAATAGCATAGGAGTATATTTAAAACTAGGAACTTTAACTGCACAGAATGCCACAAAGCAAATTCTATAATTTTAAATAAAGCAATTGGTTAAGGAAGTGACAATAGATAAGACATCTTGCATTACACAGATGTCAACCAATTTAGTATTGGACTCTGCCCTCTCCAACACCCCGGCTTTACACAATCCACTTACTTCTGCTTCTCTCTTCTTTACCCGAGCTTTCTCCACTTCATCCATTACTTTCTGAGATTCTTCCACATTCCCATCAGCTCCAAGTTGTTCCACTTTGGCCAGCAGTTTCCCAATTTCTTCATTCAATTCGTGAACTCTTTCAGCCTTGAAAGACAAGGAAAAACTTAACAGAGGAAATGCTTCTAATTATGGAAAACAATGTGAACTACTATTCAGTTGTTATATCCAAAATTGGTAGGACGAGTAAAAGAAACATGCAGAGATAACTTCTCCAGTTAAAAGTGAAACAGAAATTGCCAGATGTAAAAACACACACACAAAAGCTGTTACCAAATCTATGTACCAACTCCAGAGAAGGATTTTGTTCAGAAGCTTCAAGTAATTCACTGTTGTCTATATAAGTCTCGCAAAATTAATATTTGCACAACCATTTCCCCTAACATCTACATATATGTGCAGAAAAATGATTAAAAAAAAAAAAAAGTTAGAACATCTGGAGAAAAGCACATAAAGTTTTGTTTACTCTATGGATGAAGTTTTGATCCCAAAGTGTAAGAATTACTGATTTTATATGGTATGATATCAGAGAGTCGAGTTTCCTGAGCTTAAATATATCAAGAGAGGTCTCTTCACTGTGTTCTCCTCTCTGTGTTTTAAATGCGGTTTTGGAAGTGCAGAGAAAATATTTTCCCCCTCCTCAGCATGAATTCTCAGATTGGATTCCTTGCCAAAGCCTTAAACTGACTCCTTCGAAAAAGAGATTCTCAAAGAGAATTCAGTAACTAGTTCTACAGGCTTACTTTAGCTGCAACTTCAGCACTGATCTCTTCTTGGGTTTCTGCTAGTCTTTTCTTAGCCACTTCCGTTCTCCTGTCACAGTCTGCAATAAATGACTGCAGGTGGTCCATTGCCTGAAATATCAATAAGAACACCGATCAATGCTGTCAAGAACACAAATATTTTGTTAGCCATAACACTTTCCAGCCTTATTAAGACTTAACTTTAAATTTTTATTAGTTTAATCTTTGTAAAACAATCATCTAGCAGTTTATGGTGACTAGTCAACACTAACACACAACATCTTAAAAATCATAGTCGGTATGTTGTCATGGTTGTAAGTATTTGCAGAAATTTGGAAGTGAGAAGCAAGCATTTCTAACTTGCATTTCTAATTCTTCAAAGGACATTCTGGTTCACCTCATCCAGCCAATACAGGCAATACTGTAACTTTTTTCACTAGAGTTTTAGGTAATTATGCATATTAGCACCGTCCCTCCAAATAACAACAAACACCCTCAAATCTAGTGAAGATATCCTAGCTGGGAGTTCAAAACTGTATTACTCAAACTATTATACTGAAACATAGTTCAGGATTTGTTACCCCCAGTACAAAATTACTTTCTTCATTAGGCACAGAATTTAAGACTCTTCAAAGGATACACAGCCTTAACATTTGTTTGCTATTTGATAACACTAAGACAGCATCCAGATTTACGATAATTTGTTCTGTGGAAGGCTGTTAACAATTCTACCTAGAGATGACTACCAATACAAACGTGCATAAAAACGTGAAAAGACATGTATCTTTTATGTAACTGCGCCAAGGGTTTCTCTGCCTCTTTCTATAAAATTACTTTAAAAAGAGATTTTCCCTCTGTGTGTACCAAAACTTCACTTTTGCTTCTCCGTTTATTCACCTAGGTACACAAATTATGCTTTCCCTCCACCAATAAGACAAAATACATACATCAAGCTCAAAGAAGAAATCTTGATCTTTGGATGCTATTTCATAGTCTGCCCTTAATGCCAGGTCATGCACCTTCAGACATTCTCCAAGGTCCATTCTCTGAAAAGAGACAGAAGAAAATTGGTATAATTTTTCAGAAGCGTTACAAGAAATGAAGTTAGCATGATTTCCTTTAACAGTCAAATAGCCAAAAGCAAATCATCTCCCTGTGGAAATGAAAGGGCACTTTAATAAAGCTCTAAGACCAGATCTTCAATAGACATGCACAGATCAGGAAATAATAAAAGCAGAGAGAATAATCAGCTTATCTTAACATGATGGCTGTTTGCATTATAAAGTGTCACTGAGTAAAACAACATTGTTGAGGACATTAAAGTGCAAAAAAGTGGGACATCCTGTCTTGAATTAAAACAGCTTCGGAGAACCAAGTTCCTTGCAAATAACTGCCATCTAAATGGTCAAATGCTTCATCTGAATTGTCTGCCCAACCTAAGATATGTGCTTTAGTTATATTCATCACCTGAGATAGCTACAATCACAGCACCACTGTAAGTGCTGCTTAAAAACCATTCTTGAAGCATTTCAAGTGAGATAGCCAAAAATCAAATGCCAGCAAAACATTTTGCAGATGAGTGAAGAAGAGTCGAGTGTTGAACCATGTTCAGGGAAGAAAATGTATAGATATTTCACCTGCAATCCAAAACTTTTCCAGAAAGGACAGGAATGAAGTATGAACTCAAAGTAGGCTGCATTGTTAATCTCGCATACAATGACACTGAGAAGAGTGCCCAGAATCTTCTTAGGTAACACATACTGTTTTTAAAGTGAAATTTCCATACCACATAGCATAAGAAGTTCTAATTCAATCTGTTCCCTGAAAGTTGGGTTGGTGATCAAGACAGAGCAATGTGCATATGACAAAAAAAAACAGCAACAAAAAAAGGCCACAAACAACAAAAATTTGTAATGGAAAACATTTGAATGAAGCCAGGGTGCACTCTCTGCAAAAGCACAGGCTGATGTATAATCGTTGGAAGTGATTATTATTTGCATCACTTAAAAACAGTACTGTTAAGTCTGCTCTTGGTACTGCCCACTTAATATTGAGAAAAATTAATTATGTGCTTTCAGTGTTTAAAAAAGGAGTAAAGTTGAACTCTGATGGAAAAAAATCTGTTACTATTGTAGTATAATAACAGTTTTAGAAACAAAACTAAAATAATTAATAACTTGTGCTGTGAGTTTGCTAAATAGAAGATGAGTATTAACTCAGAAACTGCTGCAAGTCATTTGGATCTGAGCCAAACAACTGTGTTTTGTTTTTTTTAAATAAATGCAATACATTTATTTAAGTAGCAACTTACATCTCACAAGTATAGTTAAGAATACAAACAAAAAGTTGTTGGTTTATTTCAAACGTTAGAGACAGAAAACAACCAAAACACGTTGTTAACATACAAAAATTTTGAACTCGAAACATTTTTATAAATTGCAGTTATTTAAATACCCTTCAGCCATCATAAATCTGTCTTCTGGGAAACATTTCATCTCAACAGAGAACACCTGATTGCAATGCTAAAGAAAATGATGTGCTTCTTTTTTTTTGACTGCATAAAACATATCTTAGCAAACCAAAAACAGAGACCACTTCTCAGCAGTAGACCTTTGCCAAACTTGTCTGGCAGCCACACACAGATGTGCTGACACTAGGTAGGGAGGAATGTAATAGTGAACTTAAGTGTCCGGGATCTCTTATAGCACCAAGATGCCACTTCAGAAACTCTTAAATAACTTCAGTAATATTAGGGGCAATCTGGGGGGCTGAGGAGGGTGTTACAGAGAATTTCCTTTTGTTAGATGTCTCAATCAGAGGCACGAAATTTTGTGTTCCCTTCCGCTCTTTCATCCAACAGAGTGCAGCCTTAGAATACTCACACAGCATAAGAGACAGAGAGCAAGAACAAGCAAGTACAAGAGAAAAGGGTTCTTCTTCATTAGCTTTCCTGCTAAAGACATTAAATTATTGTTGGAACTGCTCTTTAACACAGCCCATACTAGTCTGGGCTAATCCTGTGAAAGTACTTTTGCAGAAATATTTCTATCAAATGTCTTTCTTAAAAGTTCTATTAGTAAACCCCGAAGTAGAGAGGCATAAAAAAAAATTAAGACTCTCAAACCAGTTTGCATATAAACAAAATCAGGCTGAAACCCACTTCTGCTGGTTTAAGGTATGCAACATCAGACAAAGACAATTCATCTTGAGGAAAATTCATTACTGCCAAAAGCTTATGGCTTTCACTTTCCATATGTCCACTTTGTGATTTGGTGCCAAGAGTGTCCCCAGAGGCAAAGAACAAACACTGGTAGTTGGCCATTTAAAGATCAATCACATTTGAAACAGAAGACAGTGATGAAGGCTTGTATTCAGACATTGAGCTATTTAAGAAGACTTAAAAAGAATGCATGTAAACTTTTTTTCACTGACTTTCAGACAGGTTTTAATTTACAGAGAAGTCCTGAGGAATAAAGCAAATACAGAAAAAGTGAGAACATTCAAGTCCCCAGGCTAGACATAACTAAAGTTTATTGAATATGTGAAGCCATCCTTCAGGGCTTTTTGCAGTTACTGCACTTTTACTGAAAATTAATACCAGAAAAAACCCTACATATTTAGAGAATCACTCTTACAAGTGAAAGCTCTAGTTGAAGATTAGTCTAGAAAATAGTCTAGACAACTACAAGTAAAGGAGGATATCAGGAGTCCTACTGCTATTCCTGAGCTCTGCTTAAGAAACTAGTGCCTCCTACTAACAACCTGCTAACCATTTTCTGTAATACGTTTTTTATTTCTCAGTGTTAGAGAGGCAATTAAAGCTACTTCATTTCCCAGAGCTACATTTTAGACACCTGGTCTTTCATCCTAAACAACCTTGTACTGAAATTACTTAGTAATCGTTTTTGTCATCGTAAATAAAACTGATAGAATGCCTTTGGTATTAATACAAAAATATGGATTACATGCATTTAGTTTAACAATGATGCATAGCTCTGCTTGAATGAAATCAGAATCACATGAGTTAAGTACAAATAGATTAGGAAGACTTGGGCAATAGAGAATCTGAAGAGTTTAGGCGCAAAAATAAATGTGCAGTCAGAGTAGTGACATTAATAACTGAATCAGAGACTATATTCTGAGGCGATGCTGTTTATGGAATATGAAGTTAAAAAGGCTTTCTTTTCAGCTCTTGAGCTACCTACAGCAAAATTGCCATTCTGGTGCTTCTACAATCACTACACATTCCTTTGACATCAGAGACTGGATTATGGAATGCCCTCTGTATGGAGTGCAAAAAGAGCACAAAAAAAGCCAAAGCTACTTAAAACACCGAAGGCTGACGATGAGTCAAGTGTGACACAGCAGCACACACAATCAGTGCTTCTAAATCTAGCAACCATCTTTGTCAGGTTTTTGGGAAGAAAAACAACAACAAAACAAACCAACTCTGGGCAGTGTTTATGTAGAGAATTCTTTCTAGATATAAAGATACCCATATTAAAGCAGTGCACATTCAGCAAAAAAAGGATTTTTTGTTTGCTTAGGGCATTACTGAAAAATTTATACTGGAGGAACCAGATCTCTCCCTTTATCAAATTGTAAAGGCAACTACCAGGATCTGTATGAGAACACCCTTGCTACTGACAAAAAGAAGCCGCAGATAAGACTCTTTGTTGAGATTCTTATTATGGAATTCACCTTTCATTTGCACTAACAGTCCACTTTCTGACAGATTTCTTCACCTGTGATAAAGCCTGTCCTTTGTTGCAGTCGACAACAAAGGGGAGTCTTTAAGATGACACCTGTGATTTAAGTTCTCTGACTCCACTGACAGGGTTAACTTCTGTAGGACTTCACTAGCAGGAAAGAAATGCTATGCTGAAAGACAGCAGAAGTTACTAAGTTATTTAAGCCCTTGGCAACCACTAAAAATTCCAGGTATCTTCAGAAATAATACTTCAAAGACATTTCTCTCTTTAACTATACTCTCACTTCTGAAGATTTCAAGTCTTTAGAACAGATCTTCACTGAAAGACAAAGCTAGCAGCAGTCTGTCTTATTTTTAAATGAGTTATTTCAGTGTTTATGTAGTATTTGGTCTCAGAGTCTGACTACGTATTAACACTGACATTAAATAAACATACAGAGAGTAACAAAGAACCCCTTTACCTAGATAAATTAAACCCATTAAAATGGAATACAGTACAGTCAGTTCACTTTCCTGGCATTGGTCAAAGAAATTAAGAATACTTTTCAAGAGACTGACATGATCACTTGTCCAGACTACAGAGCACTTTGCAATTCATCACCACTGGGCTAAAGGCTACAAATTGAGGTAGCTTATGCAAGCCTAATTTAATGTGATTGGCAAAGCTGAAGCAGTTCACCTGATCAGATCAGTCCTGAACTAAAAAGCTGATACCCTCCAGCAGAACATCTGCTTTTTTTAACACTACAGCAAACAATCACAGGCACACCTTTTAAACATGGAAATAGTTCCACTGAACCACCAGGACTACTGGGAAAGAAACCAACTCTAGATTAAAACACCTTACTAATACCTCTCTGCAAAGTGAACTATCCAAACTTCTCTTCCAGAGTGAAAGGAGATCTAGACAGCACAGTCAGTGAGCCTACATGGATTCAGCTCACGACAGATTCCCAGCGGCAGGTGAATTGAATCGTTCTCTAGGCTTCACTGCCTAGATTCCTTCTGATTCCAATGCAAGCTTTGACACTCAGCTCCTCAGCCGAAACCTAAATTTAGATGTCTTAATCTGAATCTGAATTCCACCCCTAATAAGCTTAAAGTTAATCATGTATTAAAGTCTATTGCTAAACCAAGGTCTCAATCAGTATGGCATTAGTCAGCAAGAGTCCTCAAGAGCTGAGCACAATAGATTCCTGAGCACCTAAAGATATGCTTAAATGCAGGAATGAGCTGACAAGGCCTACTTTGAGGACTGTACAAATAAGACACAAGAAGAAATGTTCCTCAAATACACATAAAAACAAACACAAAGCTAATCCACTGAGCATAAAGGAGTTTCTCAACCATGGTCTGCAAGACCACAGAGAGTATCTGCGAATTTTTTTCAACAGGGAAGCATAATCAAGCTAATAAGAAAGCCAGATTGCTGCAGAAGCATTGAACTGCTTGGGCTCTTGAAAGATAGCTGGCAGGTTACTATAAATATTTAGGATGTTACTACTTTTAACCTTATTAAAGGTTATTTGGTTTAACTCTTCCCACTGTATCATTTTCATTAGTATTCAGTTAGTCATTCAGAAACGTAAAAAGACAGAGAAAACATATGCTTCTACACCTTGTAAAACCTGGCATAAACAGCACAGCTTACATCCAGAGAATGTTGCTTAATAGGTTTGTAGCATTAGGAGTCATCTGATACATATGTAGATTCAGTCCTAATCTCATAACACAGACGAACAAACATTCTGTAATGCTGATGAAAAATAACTCAATAACCATGGTTTGGGAAAAAAAAAATATTACAAACCTCACAAGCCTGATCACTAGCAACTATTAAGGATAAAAAACCCTAAAGTAAGAGTGTTAACCCTTTAGGATAAAAAAAAAAACTTGCTAACTTCAAGTGGTAAACTATTCAATGTTCCAGCAGCAAGGGTTTACAAAGACTTATTAATGTCTCATAAATTTTATAATGTAACTTGAAATGAACGCTCAGACTCTTAAGTCATCACCTTATGCATGATGAATCAGTGCTCATGTGATCATTATGAAAAAGCAGAGCACCGAAACAAAAAAAAACAGTAAAAAAAATAGTTTTTTTGAGAGACATTTTCATAAGCAGGTTCTGAACAGTGTTCAACAACCTTGAATATGTCACTTCTGTGATCTTACCAATCAGTTTACTATGTGCCTCACACAAACTTCAAAATGCATTTCGAGTAATAAGATAATCACAGAGCAGAACAGATTTAGAATTAGATTTAATAAACTGAAAGACAACGTGATAATTTCATCTTTGTTTACATTTTTGCTGTTAGGACTCACTATTCACCTTATGTCTTCCATTTAGCCCAATACTCCTATTGCCCTTAGAAGCAACATCATAAAAATCTAAACCCATACTTTCCCTGTCTCTCTCCAGAAAGTTACACAAAATCATCTCCTGCAGGCAGAGACACCTCTGACTGCCTGACTTAGAATTTTCAAGTCTACACCACTAGTAACCTAGTAACACAAAAACATGCCCCTAAATAAAATAAAACAAAACAGGAATTTAACCAAAATCTCATTATTTAAGTAGGTAACTATTGAAGCTCATTAACTAACTACAAGGACACAAGTCTATGCAGAAAAGCGGGAAAAGAAGGTAATTGATACAGAATTAACCGTTCTGTGGGCAACAACAGGCAGAAGAAAGAATCAATTTCAAAATACAGCTAATCATATGGCTTTGCACTTCTAAATCCAATATTTACAGTTCCTTTAAAGACAATTTTTTTGTCCCTTTAAACACAAGCTACTCTGAGGAAGCAAGACACAAAGAAGTGCAAAAGGAAACTAAAAAAAAAATAAATAGGAAGCTGTGCATTGTTGCCAATCTAGATATGGAAGTTTCCTAGTAAAACACAAAACTTTACTAATTTGTGTGAATGCTTTTTTACTGAAATGTTTCTAATGTAAGAGAAAGATGAATCTGATCAAAGAAACTTATGGAAAATTTCAACTGCAATTGTTCCGTAAAAGTCTAGAAATAACAAAAGACTTCATACAGTACTCTTAAAAGTAAGGATAAATTTTATCTAAGAGAAAAAAAACAAACAAACATGCAGGAATCTGGACAAAGAGAGAGCCTCCAGCCTTCTAAGAAAAGTATACATGCACTGCTTTCACCAACACATACTGCAGCCTGGTAAACATGATTTTATTGTCAAGGGAAATCAATTCCTTGGCAGAGTTTTGGGTATTTGGCCATTAAGGAAAAGAACAGACTAAATTAATGGAGCCTACTCACATGACTCATCGTGTCTGCCTTGCGTTATCTGTGAATGTCCTCTTGGAGTGCTTTTAAAAGAATGGCTGGCTTGGAACAGCACAGGACTCTATACTGTGCACATGGGAACACTAATAAGTAGATCCTAAAAATTGCAGAGATTCTCTTGTGACAACAAAAAATGGCGATTTATATCCAGTTTTTCACTGGTAATCTGGGGTCAATGGTGAGATTTAACCTCATAAAATGTCCCCAGAGAACTTGTTCTTGCACAAGCGTAAGATTCTGGATTTCAATTAAAAAAAAAATTAGAATAAATAATACATCACTCAATCCCTGTTACCTACAGATCTCAAAACACAAAGACACATCAAAATTTTCCTATCAGAATGCTGGAGAAAACTCCACAGTCATTTTCCAAATCAGCAATAAACTTAAGTCACACTACATGCTTCAGGTCCTTTTAAAAACTGCTATGAAGAGAGAAGGTCCACTTCTTCAGACCCATGACTAGGTAAACAGCAGAACATCACACGGGGTATATAAAGCCCGTCTCTTACCTGTCCCTTTCTACTTCTCCCACTAAAAGGATGAAACCAGTCATTGTTTTTCTGGATGCAGAATTACATCGTGGAACATATTTTCTGGCACTATGACTAACTGCATCACGAGGAAGAAAAAAAAAGATATTTATATTCACTGAACAAGCAGTTTAGTTTAATACTCCAGGAGCAACAGCAAAATCCAGTATGAGACAGATAAGAATTTTCAGTGAGGGCTTAAACTGGTGAAGTAGGCCCAACCTACATGCTTGGTCTGCACAGTAAGAGGCACTACTGTGCAATACGTATGACTTAGAGCTCTAAAGATAAACGTTTCTTACTTCCTAAAGACAGGCATTCTAGAAATCTTTGCTTACAGGAACTGGATCACAATGAAAAGGTGCCAAGTCTTTTTTCTTTTAACAGTATCTCTCCAGTATTTCTCCAGCATACAATTACGCTCTAAACCTTCCCCCAACCATGAACTATTTTGTCTATCATACAACTAGAAAAGTGGACAATGTACCAGATGCATGAAGAGAAACACATTCTGCTTCCTTTTCCCCCATTTTGTTTGGATGGTAATGCACAGTGCAGTTCAAAAATAGAACTAAATATGCATTGATACACAAAGCATTGTTATCAATTTCTTATCGCTTATAAAAATGAATGACTTGAAGGTAAGGAAATATGTGCAAGATGCATTATCTTCAGTGTGAATTTTCCTCCATATATGCCAAATACACCACATTAATATCCAGACATCCAATTTTTGTTACATGACAGAACTTTGCAGTATGAAAGAAAAAGGAAAAGAAAAGAGTGTCTTTAAGGATAGGAAAAAAATTAGGAAGCCACAAAACCTGCGAAGAAGCTCAACAACGGGGCTTTTTCTGTTCCACTGCCTTTTTTATTAAGACAAATGCTAAATTCTCTAGTTCAGTTCTACTATTTATTTTGCCTCTTCCTCCTGTGCAGCTTAGCAACCACCTCTGTAGGGACTCTTTAAGAAGAAAGAAGGATAGACTGTAACTATTGGTCTGTCAGTACAAATACCAAAATAAGTATGCGCATGTATGTCTGAAATTACCAGAAATGTTATGGTAATTTAAAAGTCACGGATCCCTGGAAAGCATATTAGAGGTCAGGTGACACATTAATCAGTTACCAAGTCTACCTATTTTAGTTTTCCATTCTGCAAATCAGTTTCATCATGTACTTCAGTGAAGGCTCCAGTCAAATTTGCCATTTGGAATGATACAGCACAAAGAACCAACAATACTTAAAACGATCCTCAAGACAAGTTTTCCGGTACTTTTTTTCCCCTCTGCCAACGTGAGTCAGAAAACCTACCAAGATGCAGCATCAGGAGCAGTGGGCACACAAGACTGCATATATCATACTACATCCCTTTACTGTTCATCATTCTAACACCACAGAATGTTAAGTTAAATAATCAAGGCAACATTAACTCGCCTTTCACAAGGAACATCTACATTATTTAGGTACCACAAGGTAAAGCAAGGGCATACTGACAAAGCTATCGGCATGCAGGTACTGGCCAAAGCCCCTTGTTTGTTATGCTCAGGCAGAAGATCCTCAACTATAGACTACACAAAAAACCCAGGCAAACAAGTTACTAATATGCTATAAATGGAGATTTTCAAATTACCTTATAATTTGTGAAAATGGAACAGTAACTGGCTATTGTACAGTAAGTGCCACTATCACGTCAAATATACCTTCTAGAAATAATTATTTGAATTTTCAGTCTTTTCACTAACATATTTCTGAAGAAAGAAAAATCATCTCTCTTCCCTATACAAATGTTTGTGTGGGATACCTTCTCACTACAACATAAAGTTTAAAAGAAGTAACTTCATAATTTATGCATAAATTATATTTCCTTTTTTCTTCTGCTAGCTGCAACTATACCAGCTTAAAACCACTTCACTATAGCGCAATTTCTGTAGGTAACATTATGTATTTTATTCAAATGTTTTTCATGTTATAGCAAACAATGTTGAATTTGTAAGTAATAATTAGCACGTAAACTGGAAATTTTTAAAAATTAACTTCTTAACTTCTTCATAGAACTTCCTCTGAACTAGCAGAGAGCACTAGAGAAATACGTGCCAAAAAACCATGAAAATAATAGAACAAATCGAATTCAATTTCTATATTTTTATCTAAATAAAACACAGAATTTGGCTACATACAGTTCCAGAGAGCACGTCATGAGGGCAGCAGTTGAGAAGGTGGCTCTTGCACACTCTGTCATCACTGAATTTGATTCGCTGACGGGTCGTGTCACCTGCAATATAGAAATCAGCACACTCCAGGTTAGAAATCTGGGGAAGCCAGTCACATTCTGCAGGTTACATGCAAAGCTTTAACACTGCCCTGTCAGACAGTGAAGGTCTACAGAAACTAGAACGTAAAAAACACTGTGTTCTTCTTTGTCAAATAACATAAAAAACACAAATAGGTGTTTTAATGTTCTATTGATGCTATTTAAAAATCCTCTCACACTTCCCCTTCAAAAATGCAGCATGAAAAGTGCTTGAAACCAGAAAGACAGCATTAGCTTAAAAATACTTTGCTACAACACCTTTTGTTAAATCAGCTATATAACATTCTATTCAGATTTTGCATGAAAGTGACGTATTTGTATGCAACAATTAGCATATAAAAGCAGCCTCATAAACACAAAATTATATACATTGAGCCTTCACCGAATCCCACCTGATACTCATTTTATGATTTTGCTCTTGGATGCAATGCACCCTCTTACTTCTCATGGGAGTAGCATAAAGAGTTGGCAGAAGAATGATTTTACATGCGTACAAACCTGAAAAAAAGTCAGTCAAACATATGGACATAGCCTATATGCAAAAATATTTTACAGATGTTTACATATCTGTTTCATAAGCCATATTTTTTTTCTTTTCTACATGCTGTTTGTTGGGCTGGGAACATTTAATTATGTCTTCATCATGGCAGGTTGCAGTTCCTGCATCAGCAGAAGCATCAACCTGCCCACACACTGAGGTCCAATTGCAAATTTAAGCAACTCCATCTTGGAGCAAGACCTAAAGTCTTCAGAACAAAGTAACCAGCTGGTATTTTGGGGATGAGGGCGGGAATGTTTACTCCGTCGAGTTAAAACGATCACTACTGGAGATTCAGAAGAGAGATCACTGCTACGGCTCTCGTTGTTAAGACGCAGGCATGATAAAACACCTTAATCTGTCTAAGGATGTATCTATTTATTAATTTTTAAACAGAACAACTCATTAAGATCTCTAATCACTGAAAACCTACTGGTGAATTACTGAAGCAAGGATGGCTGCTGGAGTTAAAGAAATATATACAATGAGTTCAGATAGCAGCCTTTTCCATTTTATCGAGTATTTTTAAAAGTGTAGATACATTTTGCAGCTATTAAAAGGTATTTTACAGCTTCATGACCTGAAACACTGAGAATTTTAAATCTATTGAACAATTCAAGAAGCCAAATTCATTACTGAGGCAATCAAAACAGAGAGGAATAAACGCCCCATATCTTATTAGTAAAGCCTTTCTTACTATTATGTAATCAGATTTTTAAATATCAGTTCTATGCACAGGATGCTAATATATAACATTTTCAGATGAGCCATATTTCAGATGATTAAGCAAACAAAAGTTTATAGAAACACCACAAGCTTAATCTGCCTGTGGGATACAACAGTTAAAACCTGTAATCCACAGGCTAAAGACAGCTTCAAAGCAGTTCAACAATAGGTTTTCTAGAGGGCAACCTTACTGCTTAGTTGTACTTAACACTACTCAAAATTTAGAGCAATCTTTGATAATCATGCCTGCTACTGCAGTAAAGAGTTTCTCTTTTTTTGTTTTCTTTTTTTTTGGAGGTGGATCCATATTTCTTTAAACACATAACTGCGTTTGTTCCACATTCATTAACACATCTGAAAAGTTATTGATAACTCACGGCTCGGCGAATGCGGGGCCTTTCTGACACTCCCTTGCAGATTGATGTAGGCAGGCAAAGATACATTGAACCTTTATAAATAAAACAAGGGGCCAGATTGTTCAGTTTGTATAGAATAATAGACTCTGCCAGCAATTTTAACACAGCATCTAGAAACACATGTTGACTGTAAAGATTCTTCTATATAAAGACACACAAACAAAATCAAGAAAAGTATTTTAAAAAATACTAATAGCCTAACAGCACTAACCTATCAGGAGTCAGGGAGTTATCAAGACCAGAAAATTACTGAAAGACCCATGGTTCCTCAGGTAAAGATGGCAAGTACTATTTTCACAGACATTACCTCAACATCTAGATGTAGCTTTTTTCATACCTCTACTACAACTAGGAACAGACTCTACAGCTGCAGTACTGTCTTTTTTTCATCTAGAGGCTAACATGATAATCACAATTACCAACCCGAGGTAAAACAATAGGGAAAG